AGCCGATCCACTGCATCGGCGCCAAAGGAATTTTTCCCCAACTTACAAAGAAATGCGTGGATCGGAATCATCTGAGTGGTTCTGTTATTTTTACGACATCTGATAATTTTCCAATAAAGTACATAAAGCATTATTTTATTGTTCTGGTTCCTGGAGAAAATAGAAACATTTTCAAGGTTTCAGTTTACCCAATGAAAGAGCGAAACCCCCTTCACATTTCTACATGTTAAAATGGAAGGTATAACGCCCCTACTCATTTAGTGTAACCTGCTAATGTTGGCCCATTTTCTATCTTTATTTGGCCACTGACAATTTTTTTTCTCAGTTGTTGTGATCGGTTTTGCAGATATTTTGTCAAAGTAGATGAAAATCTGCCTCGCCTTACTGTAGATATGGTATATGTTACAAAATGTTCAACGTTTTGGCTATGCCACGCGATGAATTAAATTTAGAACGTATGTTACATATATAATCTGCTTTAGCAAGATACATTTTTTTCAAAATGTTTACGTTTGTGGTGTTTAATAAATAGGGAAAATTCTTATTTATCTTTAATTTCGCTGCAACTTAAAGATCACGAAGTCAACCGTCGACAATCTCCTAACAATCAAGAAAAATCTCCAACAGAAAGTAAAACAATGAACCGCAATATTCCGAAACCTTATTAAAGTTAGCCGCCGACGTCCCCGGTTAACTTCTGCAGAAAACAACGTGGCAAAAGGGAAGTTTTAGTAAATTACTTTCGTTTGCCGACGATAAACCAGAGACATTTTTTGAAGGAAAATATTTCCCTATTGCCAACTGTGGTGACGGGGAATATTTTTCCGGTTCGTTTATAGGTGACTCAGCAAATGTGCTCTCAAAGCTCTCAGTTTGTAACGTATATTTAACGCATTATTGTCAATAAATGTCAATAGATTTTCGCTACACGGGCACTAATAATATGTTGAGCAAAGGTTTGTAGGGGGTGATCCATTGTAAATGTGTAAAAAATATTAATGCAACAGTTGCAATGTTTAATGCGTAGTGGTTTATATATTAAGGCCAAAATTGGCTAAAAATAAAATCGATAGTTACATAAATTATCATGGCCTCACGCCAACACCATGACTTTAAAATAACAAGAATTATTTCCTTATTTAAAACTTCAATTATCCAGTCGTGTTTTGGAAAACATCCGGTGTTATAGCTCAAATTGCGGCTATTGTCCACTCTTCAAAGTCGGCCAGGGCATTGGGTTTGGTTTTGTACACTTCGGTCATCCTTACGAGGGAATCGTCAGCGTAATTATTAAGAGATACATGTTTCAAAATAGAAGCTAAGTTAGAGATGTATATTAAGACGAGCAGAGATACCAATTGAGCCTGTGTCTCACAGAAAGGGTGCTAGATTTACTATGGTTGTAGGCAACCTGTTGCGATCTTCTTTTTGTCTTGGAGTTTGTCATAATGTTAATCTTTTATCCTATAACATTCCACTAGTAACTTTTTTTGAAAATTTTAATCTTGATCAAATTATAAATGAGCCTACAAGAGTTACACCTAAATAACAGTACGTTGCTACGTTGCGTTGATTCGATTTTTGTTAATGAGCGATTTCTTGCTAGTGACTCTCGTACTTTCGATACCCATGACTTTAAATTAATTTATTGCTTTTTGGATTTTCTTAAAAACCCAAAATTGTAAAGTGTCGTTGTTTTAGAAGCTTTAATGTCATTAATTTTCAATATTTTCAATATTATCTCTAAAAACAATATCGATGACAAAATAAAAAAAATAATTCCTAATCTATCCATGCTCCAGTAAAAGGATCTCGTATAAGTAAACCAAAAACTCCTTGGTTGACCCAGAATGTTAGAATATTTACGAGGCAGAGAAAACGGCTTTACAAAGATTAAAAAACTAAGAATAACAATGATTGACTTCTATATAAGAACCTAAGAATTTGTACGCTATCTGTAATAAGAAGAGAAAAGCGGGTACATTTGGACTGCTCTAAATAATGTTATTATTAACTCAAACAGAGACAATACACTTCTAAATAGTTTGAATGACCCTGAAAATATTAAAGTGTTGTTTGCACAGTCCTTCAAAACAAATCCAACTCTAATGATAAAGATTATCATAATTTTTTCAATAATGATTTACGCTTTTGTTTTGAATTGATGTAAATTTCTGATATTCATAAATATATTCATGAAATTAAAACAAATGTCACTGGGGTTTATGCTTAAATATTGCAGTCCTTTTATTGATAAATATGTCGCTCAAACTATTTACTTACTTACTCCCGGAAGAACCTTCGGCACTGTACTAACACACAATAACCCGTTTTACCACAAACCGAAACTCAATTTTACGTACTCGACGCGCGTTTCGCCAACCAAGTTGGCATCATCAGGTGAAGATTAAGATTACTTTTACGCGTCGAGTACGTAAAATTGAGTTTCGGTTTGTGGTAAAACGCGTTATTGTGTGTTAGTAATGTACAGAAGCGAACTAACGGTGCCACATCATCAGGGTGTCTTGTTTAAGAAATTCATTCAAGGAAATTCGTTTCTAGAGTTCTATGTGACAGGAATTCACTAACTTAAATTTAAATGCATTAAAAAAAGTACAAAGATCATCTGCTTGAAACACAATATTCCTAACATGTGTTGTTTGCCGCCTGAGTGGGGTTTGAATAGTGCACGATTTATTAACTACATTAAGAGTTCTATATATGCCACTATTGCGCTCTTTTTCGCTTGTTATATTATACTGTTAATATATATGTTATTACTTTTTTTAAATAAACGCTATTTATTATTATTATTATTATCTGCGAACAAAGCAAGTCATCAGATATTTTAGTCAGCTTAAGATAATTCCAAAAGATTTACGGCAACCGGACGGTGTATCCGCGATAAACTTGTTATTGAGTAGGTAAGATATCTAATGCACATATTTGTAACGATTGATTGTCAGAGTCAGTGGCATTAGTTTTCTATAGAAGCGAATTTACGCTTTTTGTTTTTATTTATTTATTGCTTCTTATTCCCAGGTGTGTAAGACAATTACACGTAGCCTTAGCATTTGTTTATTCTTGACATTACAATTCACGGAGATGGTGAGATCGGTAATCAGTTGTCAAGACTCCAAATTTCTCTTTTTTCTGGTGACACTTTCTCTGTAGCCTATAATATGTTGCGGAGCTATATCTTCGGCGGCGTTAATTTGCTATAAGTAATAGTCCCTTCTTTATAGAATTATCTTCAAATTCATTATTTTTGGTAGTTAAACAATCAATTATTTCTTGTTTTCTATATCTACTACTGAATTAGTCGCTAACTGTAAAAAATTGCAACAAACCGCATTTTTAATAGGAATCAAAAATAATTTTATTCAGCGCAACCGGCGGAACCTCCTATTTAATTACTCTATACCTTATTATTCATTGACGAAATGTCAGTGGCGTACCTTTTTCTCTTCATAAATATGCGATATAATTACGCACTCACGCCGCTGGTAGAAACAAAAAAGTATGTTGAAAACAATCTCGAGGGTCCACAATACACTTACCATCTTTTACATAGCTGTTTAGAATCGTGTCTTAGCTAACATTTTTTTTCTAAAACCTTTACCTGTGCACTGTATCCCAAAATCGAAGACGTTTAGCACGTGCGTTCATATGAAGATTTTTTTCTTAAAAGCACCTCAACAACTACCCCTCTTAGTATCGAAATAGCATTAAGGAACACCTTGTATATCCAGATCTGCTCACGCTTCAAGCGGAATATTCCAGTGACATTCGGAAATTATAAATAAATTTGTTTTATTTAAATGAGCAGGTGCTGACAGGAAAACGGACGACTCGAAACAATTGCAATCGATAACAGGCGCGCTCTCAATCAAACTAAACTTGTCCGGTACAGAAAACAGGAGACAAACAAAGCCCCGTGTTATGGGTTATGTTTCGTATATACATTCCTCACTGCGAAGAACTGACAACGGACAGGTGAGAACCTTCGCTAAAAGATGATTCGCGAACGGCTTTATTTGTTATCTGCTTGTTTCTAATCGAAGACATATTTATTAATAATATTTACAATTTTGTGTGAGAATGAGAAATGCTCCTTTCGATCCTGTGGCACGGTAAGGAGACCCCGTCTACGAACATTCAAATTGTGGGAATCCGTACGAAATATAATTTTCTTTGCAATAGAAAAGCAAGGCGTGAAGGTAATAACGACATCAATCGAGCAGTCTATGTATATATAAGCAATTTTTGAATTATTATTTGCCCTTTGCCATTAGTGTTTGTGTTACAGTCATTATTTGTTATGTCTAGACCACGGGTTGAAGAAAATTTTGACGAAGAAATGGAGAAGAGTAACGAACCAAAAAAAAAGTGTCGTTTAAATTTAAAATAATCTATTCTTTCAAATATGCCACCAGCCAGCGTAATATTTTATAATAATGCTAGTTATCAACTGCATTTTGGCGAAAATACGACCAACGATCAGCTACATAAAAGGGGTATTGCAAGAGTTTCTTAGTCAGCATGACCTTTGGTTTGAAGATACGTTTACAAAAAAACAAGCTCTTAGATTACACTGCTATTTGAATCCGAAGGAAATGATATTGACGACGATGATGAAATGATATAATTAAAACTCAATGTTTAAGAACTCAGTATTTAATAGCAATTGACAGAATGTGTTAATCATGTTCTTGAAGTGGAAAACATTCAGACTAAATTTCCTTACTACTGCGTTGGACCGGTTTGATTTATTGGTCTAAAAATACCTACGAGCAGATTAAAATATTAATAGCATTTATCGTCTAACGGATTATGCTTACCGTTAGGAGCTACCGTTACTATCTTTTAATTACATTCATTGAAGTGTCATTCGACATCAAGGAATAATGAGGTTAAATGACAACAAATATTCGAGTCATAATATTGGTTTAAACCACGAAACATGCACTTTCGTTTCTATCATGGTCGTTTTGTTTCAGCTTCCACCTCCTCCACAACTGCCTCTCGAAGACAAACGTGTCGCCCTCATGCATCATCAACAAGACTTCCCTAATGGCCGTGGTAACTTTTTAATTGCCTCCGAATTATCGGAGGAAAATTAGTTTCCCAACTTGCCTACCGAAATTTACTTGCCAGTGGGTGCTTGATTTATTGCCTAATCGAGTTGAACACCAAACCGCGCGACTAACAAAGTATTGCTCTTAGGGGTCTAAATTGTCTGAGAAAGTTTAACGCTTCAAATACGTCCGGCCGTTCCGTTATCAAACTAACATTGTATCATGCTCTCATATTTATCACACCTCTTTGTCTAGGTCGCGTTGATGCGTGTGGAAGAATTTAATTTTGGATACACCCCTCCCCCTCCTCCTCTCCCCATTCGAAAGAGTTTCGGTCATTCATGACCTTCTTCAGAATAATTAGTGTAAAACAAGTTCTTCACAAAACGAAAAAGGGGGTGGGGGGTAGAGCATAATCGTACCATTAAAACGTTTAAAAATACAGTGGGTTGTTGTCGCAAATGCATGTCGATATAAATTCTATAAAGTATACACACACAAATATGACAATAAAAAGTCAAAACACCATTAAAAACAAAGTCGACATTCTCCGTCGGGACCGACGGGACTTTTGCTTGTCATATTTGTCTGTGTATAATTTATAGAATTTATATAGACATGCATTTGTATTTTACAAGAGTGATAATAATATGTGACAACAACCCACTGTATTCTTAAACGTTTTAATGGTACGATGATGCTCTCCCCCTACCCTTTTTCCTTTTGTGGAGAACTTGTTTCACACTAATTATTCTGAAGAAGGTCATGAAACGTCAATAAACTGGCAACTTTTTGAGCACCTTTGTTATACACAGACCTAAAACCCAAGGATTAACATGCTAATATATACTTACATACTTGAAATATTTGTCTATTTTAGCAGAAAATGAAAACAAAATATCGGATATATTTTCATACAGGCAATACAGATATCCACAAAATACATTGATTTGGTTTTTGGGAGAACCAGACTCGTGCTCCGAGATTGATCACTTTTTTGTCGATTTTCCAGGAAAAAGTTTTTTTTTCCCAAACGAGGTGTGATTTCCGCAGAGATTTCTATCCAGGTTATTCGCTTCGATCAATTTGAACAACAGACAAATTTGGGAATAAACTGAATGAAATGATTTTTTTTCCTAGTAGTATAGGATGAGGTGTGATTCTACTATTACTATAGTTTCTCTGTAGGAAACAAATTTTCCGTTAGATCTTTGTTATTGTAGCCCTCCTAGCCAGTTAAAATTTATCGATGTAGCATGTTTTTGTCAGTATGAAATAAATTAATTAGTCAATTTTAAGTCGTAAATCTTTCGTTTCTACTAAAAATGACTGTAAATCCAGCCCAGCTAACATTTTTCACAGCTTAAGGTTTTATTATAAGATAAGGGATAATATAAAAATACTTTAACTTTAATAATAAAAAAAGGGTCCCTTTACTTTATCTATAAAACTTTTTGTGTTGGCTACTTTAGTTTTTTTTTTATAAAAGTGTTATAGCGTTTTTAAGAAGCTTTTTATAAAACATCATCTCACGGCTTACTCTTAATAAATATTCTACAGCTACTATGAAAGAATGAAAGAATGTTATAAAATTTAAAGCTACAAATAATGAGAACAGTTGAAATAAAAATACTGAGAAGTATACAGGATAAAATTCTATGCCTTAGAATACTGAAAGAAAAGTTCAGGCTACAATGCGGAATGCAGGATATACCGCAGGCTACTGTAATAATATTTAAAAATCTCCTGAATTTGTTCTGCTTTGGTCGTTTATAAATCAAACTTACTGACGCTGCGCTGTTGGCTTCTTCAGAACTTAACTGAAACTGGTTTCAGTTAAGTTCTTGGCGAAACGTCAGCAAGTTTAATTTATAAACAACCGATGCAGGACGAATCCATTAGATTTTTAAATAGTAAGAGAAACTATTATTTGACCTAGAGAGGTTTCGAGTTGGTATCTGCAGATTTTGACTGGAATTTTCTTGATATCGAGAATGAAAGAACTATTTGACACAGAAAATGTGATTTTACGTTGATAGGACCCATGTTAAAAAGAAAATAGTAAAAATCCATTGTAAACAAATGATACAGAAAAAGATGTGATCAATAGGGGCGGTGTTGTTTATAAAATCTGTATGTTGGCAAATGTAGAATAGCTTTTAGAGTATATTTAAGTAGGTTTTACAGCGGCAACGAAAAAATATTCCTTACTGTTCTAGGTCTCTTTTTTATGATTTATAAAAGCAACGAACGAGGAGTAAAATTTGATCACTGTGACATTTATAAGATTGTCCATTTAAGTGTAATTGATAATCTCCCAATTAATATAAAATGGGTAATCGGAACTCGACCGTTATAATTATAACTCACCAAAACTAAAGAAAACTATAACGACAACAAGCTTCCAAATCTCTTATTGAACAATTAACTGATTATATAAAAAATGTTTGATTAAATTATTCGTATTCTGTAGGTATATTATATTTATTTTTTTTATTTGGAAACGGTAAGTACTATAAATATAATGAAATGGACAAAAGTTTCTAAATGAAACAAAAAATAAAAAAATTATACCATTACATATCTTTTTTCTTAAATTTAGTAAACAAGAATGGGTGCTTTCTAATTTAATCCCCCTCATTTATTTAAAAAAATGATCTACAGAAAGTGTGTTTCCACATTTTTGTAACACGATATCTTGCTAATGGTTGACGTTTGATCCAACTGATATGAGATGAGATATTAGAAACTAGCCTTTATTTTAAACAAGGAATCACCCCTTTTTTCATTGCATCTATTTTGAAACATCCTCTATGTCATATTGTACTTCATATTGTACATTGCATTTTCACATTGAAGGTAAATTTAGTAGTTTTATCAAAACGCCGACACTGCAAATCTGAAAAGTTCTCCAAAATTGCAATTGACGACCAATAAAAATAAGATATAATCGAATTCAGGAAAGATGATGATTACTTTAGCAATGACACCAAGAGTATTCTTAAGGAATTTGCTGGTTTCGTCATTATGATGTAGTCGTCACCTTTACTGATTTTCGGTATATGTAATATTAATAAAAATGTTTCTTGAATAAATCACTAATAAATAAGTAACTTTCTCGGTGCTGTTAGCATTGACGCATTGAGGGCATTACTCTAGAGCAAAGCATTATATTTCAAATATTAACAATTAGAATCCGACGAAAGTGTTTATAAAAAGGTAAAATTGTCGATAGGGTAATTTTTTTTCTACAAAAAATTTTTAGTCTTGGGCAATATTTTCATTTTGTTCTATTCATCGATAATGTTTATATTTTATTTAAATTGCCTCTCGAATTTGTTCTATTTATTTATTTTACATGCGATTGCTTTAAGCACTTTGACATTTCCATTTATTCATTCTGATGCAAATGAAATTGAAAGAACAGCCCGAACTTCCGACGCCCTATTGATCTTCCAGCTGCAATTCCGCGTGGTAGTAAAACACAACGCGGTAGTTTATATCTTGGACCTTATATGTCGACTATATGTTTGAGCTAAATATTTGCTCTCCGAAGTAAATAAAGTCAATTTCATTGGCTCCACGTCCACGAGGAAAAGTGGAACGCGTCATAAAGTGTTATTTGCAGTTACGGTTCCTATCGGGCAAGTCGTTTGTCGAAACCGATTTCAAATACTTTTCGACGACATCGAGTAATGAGATTCGGGTTCTCAAAATCCGAATTCTTTTCGGAAAATATTGGTGAAATTGAAACAAACAAAACGGTGATAGCTCCCCGTTTGCTTGCTTACTGCTATACTGATCGTAGTATCTAAATGCTGAGGGTTTAAGCATTAAGCTTTAACATGGCTTACTATGAAATCGACTTCACCGCTACTTATTGTAACCAAAAAGGTGTCAAACCTATAGCTATCAGCGTAAAACTTTACTTTCTGTGTCAAATAGTTGTTGTTTGGAGCAGAAAAAATTACATACAATTATTATAATAATTATACGGTGTGGGTGACGTTTAACATAAGGCATTTTAAAATATTTTCTTCAATATAAAATTTTGTAGCTATTTGCTCGTACTGTAGACCAGTAAAAATGACATGGGCTTTGTTTGACTTATTTAACAGTTCTTTGCAGTTATTTATAGGCGCACTAAATTTTTAATGTGACCCGTTAACCTATTTAACAGTTCTTTGCAGTTAGTTATAGGTGCACTACATTTTTAATGTGATCCCATAAAGAAAAAGAAAAAAGATTGAGTTCAGGCGATCTAGTTAGTTAATTGCATAGGCCTCGTTTTCTAATATATCTTATCATAATTATCATCAAACAGATTATTTAATTCGTCACTAACGCGATTGGTGAATGAGCTGGGGCCCCATCCTATTGATACCAAACTTATACAGCCAAATTTAATGGTAAGTGCTTTTCAGAAATGCGAAAAATACACTTGATAATCATAACAAGGCAAAATGCTGGTGATTCCTTTCAATAACAATATTGGGATTTTCGATTGACCAATAGTGGTTATTCCTTCTAGCAAAAATTTAGATTGGACTTGCACCAGGAGCATTTACGACAATTCTATTTTTTGTTGAAAATCGATAGGTAACATTGCATGGATAAATAAAGATGTATTGAAAGAATTCTTTGTATGGATAAATACCTTACACCTAAATCCTTTGTACTGCGCATTTAACTTTGTGGGAAAGTAAAGCAAGTTCCAAGTAAAGCAAAAATTATTTTTATTCGTTTAGACTTTTTTGCTAACATTGGTAGCAAATGCGAATATTTTTCGCTAAATACACGACGCATTCTAGTCCGAATTTTATGGCAAACCCCAAAAAATCACCAATAAGTCATAGATATGAGCAAAAGTGTAATTATTTGCGTTGTTTCGTTACAGGCTACTAGACTAATTTCGTTCTATACGGTTATTCTCTGCATATTCAGGACAATAACCTTTATATCGAAAAAATGGTTCATGGCTACTACTCCCTCTTGAAAAATAAC